AGATACAAAATATTTTAATATTTGAGGGATAGTTTCACCCCCTTAGAATTCGAGTTTCGAAAAATCCCTTCTTATCGAACCTCTACATCCTAAAGTCAGTCTGTTTTCCAAAAATCAGCTTTTTACGTCAAGCGCTTTAAGCAGGATCGTGATTAATCAATGACCAGATTTTTCGAAACACCCTGTATACATTTTTAAAATATCTTAAAATACTGGAATTTCAAAAAATCCCTTCTTATCGAACCTCTACACCCTAGAATCAACCTAAATATGCCAAAATTGAGCTTCTTACGTTGAGTAGTTTGAGGAGGATAGTGATTAATCAGTATGTCAGTCACTTAAGGATTTTATATATTAGTACAGATTTTTTATTGAGCCTGTTAAATTGAAACACCCTGTATATATAATAATATCTATACCTTTGTGGCGGATTAATTAAAAAAAAATCTTGGGTAATTCGCCGCTAAAGCGAAAAACTAAAAAAACTAATTTTTGTAAGATTTAGTAAGAATAAAAAAAAACAGTTTTAGTGGGTTTTAACCAATTTTTTGTTGATTAGGCAAATTGGTTTTACTGATAAAAAGCCACTGACAAATTGTTTTTTGTTTGGCATCTAACGTAATTATTGCATTTAACATAAAATTACTTATTATTTTTTTAAATTTCTGTTTCATTGTGAAAATACCAAGATTTTTTTCAAGACCCTGTATATTGTTTTAAAATTACTTAAATTTTACCTAAAAATTGCGACAGTTATGTATTTATTACAATCAACAATTTTTAGATTAGTAAGAAAAATTATATCTGCGATAAATTTAGTCCTCTCATGGTAAAACACAAAAAACACCCTGTATAAAGTGACGCGAGGTATTAGAGAATACATATTTAGAGTTTTATGGTTACTTTTTATTAGAAACGTTATATATGACTCGAAGCCAGAAGATCAAAAGTGCAGTAATTGCAGAATTTATAAAACAATACATTTAAACCGGGAGACATCAACCAGCGGTCGGACAGCAAACCCTTGCTTCTTAAAAATTAATTAATATTTAACATTATTAAGTGACCTGAGTCATATAACGCGTAAGACTAATTTTTACCTAATATATTAGAGATTTTTGGATCAAAAATAAAAAAGATATGACAGATATCTCTGAAGTATATGTATATTTTTTAGTGTACTTATTTTATTTTCTTGTAATTTACCTTTATGAAGAAAAGGAATAAATTCGATAATAAAAATATGAGGGCTTGTTTAAAAAAAAAACACTCTCACACGTGGATTGATATTTTTAATTGCGCATTTGTTTTAATAGAAATTTTAGTATTTTAATAAAGCACGCTTTTAGATGTTTCAAAAACTTTTAATAAGAATAACTTTAACTCAACAGCCATATGTTTCATTTTGTTAGGCCTTTTTCAAAGAGTTTTTAAGAACTAATCGTCTAACTACACTGTAACTATATATATTTACTATGGGGTGGGTTCGAGTTTACAATAGGGGTAATAAAAAATGTAGAGAGAATTTAGAAATCCTTGTTGGTCGTTAACATTATTTTCGTTTTTAACAGATTTTAGTATTTCTAACTGTTCAATGTAATTTAAGCGTCTACCTTTTGTTTCTCTGTGTAGTAACTTAATTGAGTTTTCATTAATTTTGTGATTATTTACTATACAATGAGTTGCAAGACCAGAACTTTGCTGGAGATTATTAATAGACTTTACATGTTCTTTAATCCTATATCTAAATTTCTACCTGTTTGGCCTATGTACACGGCATCACAATCATTGCAATCCACCCTATATACACCCGACTTATTTTTGACATTAGTTTTGTCTTTATTATTTAATAAAATTTGACCTAAATTTCTTTTATTTACGTTAATTACATCCTATTTTATTGAGATTATTTGATATTTTGTTAGTTAAATTAGGAATGTAGTTTAAAAGAGTCGATAATTGTTATTGTCTTTAGAATTAGCGGAATAAAAATTTTTCATTAATATTTTCTTTTGTTTTTTCTTTAGCATATTATCAATAACACTTATATCCATTGTTGATGGCGATTTGTTTAATAATATTTAACTCTTTTTTAAATTTCTCTGGGGTCAGTGGAAACATTACTAATCTATGAATTAAACTATGAAAGGGTGACATTTTGATTTGCTAGGATTGGTGTGATTGACTATGTATTACAGTGTCTGTGGTAGTGGGTTTTCTATGCTGTCAAATTGTAATCTATTAGACTGTTTTATAATTTCTTGTAACATCAAGGAAAATTGATGGTATTAATACCTTTTCAATTGTAAATTGTATTCTCAGAGTTAATTGAATTTAATAATGTTAAAAAACGGTTTTATATTTAACATATTTACATTTTTTATATACAACATATTTAATAATGTTAAAAGCGTGCTTTATTAAAATACTAATATTTCAACGATGTTTCACAAGGAACCAACCACAGCTTCAGTACAATTTATTAATAGAAATTATTTATACAGGGTGTGTCGTGTAACAGTGGCCAATATTAACTTTCTTATTTTAAATACACACCTTTTATATTAATCAACTTTTGGATTCTTTGCAAAATTCTACATATATTTAATGTAAAATGTCCTATATCTATCTGTAAATGCTTCTCAAATATTAAGTGGCTTTAGCAAATTGTTGTTTGCCTGCAGGACCAGTAGTCTAGACTTATGAATATATCATAGTCACAAAATAAATAAATATGGTTGGAAGATATCCAGACCTTACCCACCCTGTATGCAGTTTTTTACATACTGAAATTTTTATAACCTGTAACAAGATCAATAAATCAATAGTAACAACAAAAGCAACAGAAACAGTAATAAATTTCCAAGTTTTTAAAAGCACTTGATTTACATGATGTCGGGCTAATTTATCTGTGCAATCTTTAGGCTTGTAATTAGCAGAAAACGGAAATGGCTCAACTTACAACGGAGAAATACATAAAATACGTTTGTCAAATTACCACCCTGCTGCGTATTTTTGTTCCTCGCCAAAAAAGATATATTTATCGTCCAATTAGTAGAAAAACAATGTTGCCAGCGACACCGGAAGCTACTGTTTAGCGAGGGGCAGTTATTCTGACTGACGACATTTACATAACGAGACGTAAGATGTCAGGCTTGTCGTTAATTACGCCATAGATAAATTCGCCTGTTTGCCGGGCGCAGTACGATAACAACTCCTTGTTTACAAGTTTATGTCGTGTTTTTGCAGAGTTTTTGAACATATGGCACAATTTATGATGGCATGTTCATCGGTTAGTTGTTGTGAACACTTTTCGGGGAAGAATTTTGAACTCAAATGGGGGTTTGGTTATTTATGTAGTTCCTATGACGTTACTTTTCTATGGTTAGACATTTTATTAATGTATCTCTTAAATACCATACAATCGAAAATATATACATACAATTAAGTACCATACAATCGAAAAAAAAACGTCGTCAAAGATGAAATTATATATGATGATAATGTTGGCAAAGTCAAGTTCTAGACGTAATTACTAGGCCCGTACTCTTCTCAATTTTCTAATGGCACTTACTGCCAGATGGCCTTAACAGTAATGCAATTATTTTATATGTTAAGTTTTATGTCAATTTTTAGTGAATAATGTCTAGAGAATGGCCTCGCCATATTAGTGATGGGCAAAACTGTTATTTTTAGATAACAGTTGAAACTGTTATAGTTATTTATAAAAAACAGCTTAAAATAACAGCTTAGAAATAACAGGTTTCTTTATTTTACTCCTAAATATCTGAAAGAGTATGAGGCAGTCACCGCGAGGCGTATTAACGCAGTTGCAAGTTGCAACAATGACGTGCTCGGTGGTAGTATTTCCAGGGTGTCAAAACATTTCTAAATATCGATTGTTATCTAAAATACCTCTCTAAAAACGCGAAAAATCCCTTCTTATCGAACCTCTACACCCTAAAGTCAATCCGTTTTCCAAAAATCAGTTTTTTACCTCAATGGCTTTAAGCAGGATCGTGATTAATCAATGACCAGATTTTTAAAAACACCCTGTATACATTTTTAAAAAATCTTAAAATATTATTCTGAAAATTTTGCAGAATAAATAAAAATAAAAAGTAAGTACTGAAACATACAGCGCCATAATATTTCGACCTCCGCCCGTTATGCTCGTAACAGGTTAAAACAGAATGTATCTAAAACAACTGATGCGTTATTCCCCAACCTGTTTCGAACCTCCATCGACAATCGACCGATGCAGCAGCGTTCCTTTCCCAATCCTGTTATCTCGACCGCCGCCCTGTTATGCCCGTAACAGGTTGAAAAACAACGTAGGTATCTAAAATGACTGCTCCTCCAACCCGTTGCGAGCTTCCATCGACAATCGACCGACGCAGCAGCGTTCCTTTCCCACTCCCGTTATCTCGACCGCCAGGCGTTATGCCCCGCAACTGTTTCAAATAACCTGCTTCTTTTATATCCCTATTATTTTTAAGCCGTTGTAAGCCCAATACGACCATCGACGGCATCGGCCGAAGCAGCTCCGTTCGCCGTAGCGCATTCCCACTCCGTTGTCCGTTGCCTCGCCGCCTGTATCGATGGGTTGACGAAATAACATGTTTTCCATCCATACTAGTTGTTCTTTGGAATTGCTTCGAGCAGCATAGAATTACGTGGTGATGCAGAGCGCCAACTTCGTTTTTCCTTTCACGAGCGGCCGATCATTACGTGTCGTTATTTTATATCTGTTATTTTTGGCGGTAATAACGGTTGTGTTATGTTATTTATAAATAATTATAAAATAACAGATAGTTAAATAACAACCCATCACTACGCCATATTATCGTCGATTTTCATTCCACAGCCCCTCTTTGACGGCTTTTTTCATTCATACTGGTATTTTAAGTAAATGGGCTAGCTTTCTTTTTCACCTCCGATATTTTTGATAAATCTCAAATGTTTAAAACATTTTATTGGGTCAAATATAATTGTTGCAGGAACCTTAAGACCGCCAGGCCTGATAGGAGGGAGCAAACCAAAGGTAGCAACACCAGCTGTAGTTTCAAAAATAGGAGCAATATAAGAGGGAAAATCCTACAATTTTCGCTTGGGAAATTAGAGAAAGACTTATATCAGAAGGTAAGATTTATTTATTTTAATTATATGACACAAATACTATAAATAAGCTTCTGTTCACGAAATCTTCAATATAAACAAATAGAAATATAAATTATTTTATTTTCTCATTTATTTGGCAAAAAAGTTTTAAGGGAGAGACCAACTTCTCCTCTAACTAAAAGTATCTTTTCAGAACTAGTATGAATTTTATTGCTATCTGTTTCTATATTAAAATATTTGTAGGTAAAATGAAATTTCAAGGAAAACGATTCAGCAATGTTCTTAAAAATCAACAATATACATTATTTTTATTATTCACATTTATGTGCCCTCACTTCCTTGAGAAGGGTCTTAACCCCTTTAGGCAGTACCCACTATTTTCTAGTTTGGCTTAAATAATATATAAAATAAGCAATAAAGGAGCATATCTTCTTAATAAAATTTTTCAAAAAGTTAACAAATAAGGGAGTGGGGTCATGTATCATCCAATGTAAGAAAAAAGAGTAAGTTGATTTTGATTATCTCTGTTAGCACTTTACTCAAAAATATGCCCAAATCAAGTAAATCAATTTTTGCTTTTCGAGAAACTCGCATCCTATGAGAAATGATCGAAAATATACAGGATATGTTAACGATTTTAGAAAATATCATCGGGGTTGCAAATTTGCGTACAAAATAAAAAAGAAATAAACGTCACAGATACATTTTGTTTCTGTATTTTAAATTTTATCACACGAAATTTGGTATAGAAAAGTTTTACAATACGACAATTATTATCTATATGATACAGAGCGAACTCAGTGTGACCAGTGCTCGCTGGTCGAATATTCAACCGCTTACGATAAATTTTTGCGCCAATTCGGCCAACGCATAAATATGGTTAATTAAACGGCAAACTGCATAGAAATAAGCATAGCAAACAAACTGGGGATAATACACTTCCACGCGACTGATTAGATAGTTAAATTAAAGTGGTCGATTTAGCGACCATCAATCTATAAAGGGTTAAAGTATATGTTCAAAGGAACATTTTGATATATATTTTGTCCTCTGTAGTATGCTACCCTGTGAATATCTATGCTTGGTTCTCTGATACTGATAAACTATAAGAAAATATCAAATATATATCATTGTGAAATAATTCTATTTTATTCCAAGCCCACGAACAACAAATCTTACCGAGAAAACATTCAATAAGCACCTCTAATTTGCTATATAAAACTTCAACAATCAATCAACCGAAAAGCTACGGGTCCGATGGACCTCCGCATTGACGGACACCCATAAATTCCGCCCGGCGGTTAATTAAGCATGTTTCACGGTGATAAATAATGCTTTTCAATCATGTTAAAGCTCGCGCTAGGCCGCGAGGCAAAGATGGATTGCCGCGGCTTCGGGATTCGAGACAATCAAAACACTTTGTTAGAGAGGTTTTATTTGGAAGATAAATGTAAAGAAATAATTGTGTTTTGTCATTAAATTTTTTCTGTTTATTTCTGAATATTCTTACATCTATTTCAGAAATGAAATGGATCACGTCCATAAAATTTAACGCTGAGAGACGTAGCAGAGATAGTAGATGTTACCCAGGGTGTTGTATCGAAAAAATATGCAGATAATTTGAATTAGGGAACACGCAAAGATTAGGCCCAGACAAATGTCAAAGAGTCATTAAACTGAACAAACCAGGACCGCCTTGTGTGGCTAAAATTGCTAGAATAAATCCCAATGTTTCCCATCTGTGGTTTCTCACAAAAGACAACTTCTGGCAGTTACAAGTGTGAACATTTCAGCTGAAACCATAAGAAAAAGGCTGTATGCACGAGGGTTTTACAGGAGGAGAGAGTTACGGATCCCAAGAAGCTAGCCCAGGGCCACACAGAAAGCGTTTTTGCGTTTTTAGCGAAGCGTCTTTAGCGTCTAAAACAAAATAAATAGGAATTGAGAGTAGGAGTGGCCACATGAAAAGGGGTAGTTCATATGTCTCTGCAATAAACGCAAATTCAAAACAAATCAGTTTGTTATCTGTAGCGTCTTTAGCGTTTTATAAGATGAGACCCCGTCATAGGCGGATGTTATACTTAATAATACAATAAAATAAATTAAATAGTATGCATTTTTTCTTCATTTTAGGGTATTATCTAAAAATATTTTATAAAGAACATCTACTGTTAAGGAAGATTCTATTAAATTCAAAAAATCTCCAGTTGAAATGTTTGAAAAAGCGTAGTTTGAAATGTTGAAAAAGTAATAAATTAAAGGAATATTTTCTCTTTACGCGTAAAAAATAGTTTTTACGTAAAATAATAAGCGCCTTTGACGCGTAAAATTAGTTTTTTACGCGTAGTAAATAGTTTTTTAAAAAAAAAAAAAAAAAAAATTTTTTACACGTAAATTTTTTTTTGCGTAAGAAAGGTTTTTCATCAGAAACAATAAGTATCTGACGAGTAAAAAAGAGTTTTTATAAATAAATAGATTTTACACGTAACAAATAGTCTTAAAACCGCGTAAAAAATAGTTTTCTAGCAGTAACAATAGTTTTATACGCGTAAAAATAGTTTCTACCAGTAACAAATAGCTTTATACGCGTAAAAATAGTTTTTTTTTTTTTTTTTTTTTTTTTTTTTTTTTTTTTTTTTGCGTAAAAAAGGTTTTTACCAGGAACAATAAGTTTTAATGCGTAAAATTAATTTTATGTAACAAATAGTTTCTACACGTAATAAATATTTTTTTGTGTAAAAAGTTTTTACCAGGAACACAAGTTTTTGACGCGTAAAATTAGTTTTTTACGCGTAACAAATAGTTTTTTACACGTAAAAGTATTTTTTGCGTAAGAAAGGTTTTCTATCAGAAACAAGAAGTATCTGACGAGTCAAAAAAGAGTTTTTTATGTGTAACAAATAGATTTTTACACGTAACAAATAGTCTTAAACGCGTAAAAAATAGTTTTCTAGCAGTAACAAATAGTTTTCTACGCGTATAAAATAAAATTGACCGACTAAATTGATACCTTCAACATCAAAACTGAACAGCTGAGAATTGGCAAAATGTTCCTCTTTCGGTTCGGGTTTTCAAAGCTCCAGGAAGACGAGCGAGACTTCAGGCTGCCAAATCTGTACCAAGATCTAAAGGAGCAACTGTAATGTTCTGGGGAGGTATTATTCTGGGAGCAAAAACTCCATTGTTACCACTTTAACAAATTTTAACGGGTCGGAGATAAAATGGTATTTTAACGTCTTGTATAAAAAATAACTATAAAGACATCTTATTTCACCGTCCACTTTTAAACAAGAAGAAATAAAAACATTGACAGAACAACAACAAAAGTAATAATAATTAAAAAAAACATTTTTGTATCTTTTCTGTATCTTGCTCGTTACAAAAATAGCCAGTGGCCAACCACCAATTTATTTAATTTACCCTCGTAATCGTGACCAACCAGACCATATGCGTTCGTGTGAACGGGAACACTCTCAAAACCCAAAAGGAAAACCGCAAAAGCAACGTAACAATTCCCACCAGAAAACGTCAAAATGATAATGTTCAAGACCCCTTTATGCTATTGTTGGGGATGTATTCAATAACTTTGGCTGCAGAACAAAATTACACGAAAGTACCGAGGAGGACTGTGCTGCAATTAGTCGAAACTCTGCCCCTGGAGCCGTCGGCGTCGGCCGTCGAAGCCGCCGGACTTAGTACCTATGTATTTTTAAAAATATTATTTGAAATTATATTTTTTCGGGTTTTTTGGAAGGTGAGCATTTTACTTTAAAATACACAACCAAACTTATATGGAATCATCTATTATTTTCATAATTTTTGAGGATGTAAGGAACATTTTGTGTTTATGAAAAATAATCCCTATAGCAATAAAATTAATCAGTCTCAAACAAATGGTATTTTTTGGTTTCTGAAACGAAATTCAGATTTAAATTTTTAATGGCCGAAAAGCATAAACAAAAGAAAATTGATAATTTTAATATTCCCTTGCTGCCACCTGTAGCCCTTATGCAAGCTTCTATCCACGCTGGCATGCTTCTTATTAAATTATCCACGTTGTCTTGGGGTATGTTTTCCCATTCTGCTAATGCTGCATCAATAAGCTGTGCGAGATTTCCTGGATTGTTTCGACGAGCTCTAACCCTTCTTTTGAGCCAGTCCCACAAGCGTTCGATAGGGATTAAATCTGGTAAATAGGCAGGTCAATCCAAAACTATGACACCTTCCTTTTCAAGACCTTCTCTAGTCACTCTGCTGGTATGGGGAGGTGCACTATCGCGCGTGCATGAATTAATTATTGCATGCATTAATCCCCAATTGCAGCTCTCCAAAGACTAACGATTGGTTCTAGAATCAAATCAACATATCTCCGACCCGTTAAAATTTGTTGAAGTGGAAACAATGGAGTTTATGCTCCCAGTATATCTTGGTACAGATCTGGCAGCCTGAAGTCTCGCTCGTCTTCCTGGAGCTTTGAAAACCCGAACCGAAAAAAGAACATTTTGCCCATTCTCAGCTGTTCAGTTTTGATGTTGAAGGCATCAATTTAGTCGGTCAATTTTATTTTGCCAGATAACTGTGGGATCCGTAACTCTCTACTGTAAAACCCTCGTGCATACAGCCTTTTTCTTATGGTTTCAACTGAAACGTTCACATTCGTAGCTGCCAGAAGTTGTCTTTGTAGCTCTGGATGGGAAACATTGGGATTTATTCTAGCAATTTAGCACACAAGGCGGTCTTGTTATTCAGTTGTGACTCTTTGACGACTTTGTCTGGGCCTATCCTTGTGTGTTTTTAATTCCAAGTATCTGGCATATGTTTTCGATACAACACCCTGGGTAACGCCTAGTGGACGGTGAAATAAGATGTCTTAATAGTTATTATTTATACAACACGATAAAATGGTATTTTGCGATACGATAATGCAATTTTATCGTCGTG